ACCTTGAAAAGAAGTGATTATACTTGTCCAAGACATTGAAAATTTATGTTGTGAAAGGCTTAGAAATATAATATAAAAAATACATAAAATATAGCTTTAAAACAAAAAGGGTACAAACGACCCACAGGAAAACTGCGCAAGAGATGGGAAAAGGTATTTTACAAAATAAACACACATTGCCAACGACCAGAGGAAGAGATGTGCACAGCATCGCTGTCTAGGAAAACGCAAATGAAGATCACATGGAAAGCAGTACATACATTTCACATTCATTTCATTCAAAAATATGTTTTAAATATATGTCAAAATAAAGCGTTGGGGAGAGTATGAGTCAACAGTGTCACTGGATGAGAGTGAGAAATAGTGGAATTGTTTTGGAAAAATTTGAAATTATTTTGCAAAAAATAAAAGTTGTGCTCCCTCTGACCTGACGGTTCTCCTCCAAGTATTATACATCCAAGACAAACTATGCTTGTACAAAAGGTGGTAAGTACAGGAATTATCCATCAGCATAGATTATTATAACCTATATAATATTATATCATGGAAATAACCCAGGTTCACCTCCGAGGGAGAACATATACAGGGCACATTATCACTGTCAAAATGCATGAAGTATGGATGAATCTCAGCAATATAATGTTACTCAGAAAAGTAAGTTTCCAAGGATTAACACAGTGCTGATCTATGTAATGTTTAAAAATCAAGGGAATGTTCATTAAGGATGCATCTGAATTAACTGGATCTATAAAAAAAGGAAATTTTAGGACTGGATTTAATGTAGTGGTTGTCTTGGGGAGAGAAAGACAAGAAGATAGGGTTAGAAGGATGTGATGATATGGACTGATGTGGTTTTTTCTCACTGAATTGTGTGTCTTGGCTTTCTTTTAGTTGGCAGATTAATGGTTTTTTTTTTTTTTTTTTTTTTTTGCCTTGCAAAAATTAACTAAGTAAGTGGGCTGGGCATATGGACAGATAAAAAAGCTAAGTCATTTTTAACAGTTTCCCAGTGAAGAATAAATAAAAGTTTAAGAAGTGTTTCTTCTACTTTAATATTTCTTTAAAATAACACCATTACATTATTACCCAATACACTAGTAATTGAAATGAAAAGATAATCCATTTTGAATTTTAATGGGAAATTATTTAGAGCTCTAAGGTGTCAAAAAAGAGAACAGTTTGCAAGTTTTCAGCCTGAGAGAGACTTCTTTGCCTCTGTGAGACTGGTATTGGCTGTGAATGTAAAGAAGGCAACAATATCAACTTCACTGAATTCATTTTGACTTTTCAAATTATTGGTGTGGCTCAGAGAAAGCACACATACATTTTGATGACTTAAATGCAGATGACATAGTATCCAGATACCCAAACACAATGTTGGCTTGGCTTCATGTGTTTTTGGTCAATCAAATCAAGAGATGTCAGCACTATTGTCAGAATCTTTGCAGACCCCTATGACTGTAAAAAAAAAAAAAAAAAAAAGAAAGAAAAAAAGGTGAGTGACCAAGAGTATGTTTCTTGTTAAATATTTCCTGACCTATAGGAATACCCATCTCCATAGACAGCATGGAACTTCATGAATTTCTGCTTTCAGGCATGCAAAAGCCCCAAAGGCAGCATTTACAGAGAAACTGGGAACAAATGTCTTTGTAAGGCGGGTGCTTCAGGGTGCAGAGGGACAGTGCTCCTTGGCATATTTGCTCACTGTTGAAGAAGTTGAATAATGTCAGTTGCTTTTGAATAGCTGAATAACCTTCAAGTATAATTTTTATCCATTTAGATTTTTTTAAATGTGTGCTCTTTTTTGGTCCCTGTTCTTTTCCTTTTCACAGCCTTGTGAACAAGGACGTCGTATGAAGCGAATCCATGCGGTGGCAAACATCGGCACTGCACTCAAGTTTCTGGAAGGAAGAAAGGTAGGAAATGATAGAGAACACTGGAAGAAGGAGGCATGGGCAAAAGAATGCTTCCAGAAGTAGCCATGGCTTCAAAGCACTGCCAGTTATCTATGCAGCAAGGACACATGGTATTATTATAAAATAATTTTGGATTTATAGTAAAGTTGCAAAAAAGGGTTTCACATCTACTCTTCACTCAAATTCCTCTGAAGTTAAAAACTTATACAAACATAGTACTATTATCAAAATAAGGAAACTAAAATGATGTGATACTGTTAATGAAAGCACAGATGTTAGTCTAATTCCATCAAATTCTTCCCCGTTGCCTTGCTTCTGCCCCAGGACTCAATCCAGAATCACACAGTGCATTCGATCATCTCTTTATTCTATAAAGAGTCCTCATTCCATTCTTGTCTTTCCTAACCTTTGATATTTTTGATACCGCCAATCAGTTATTTGAGCATAATGTCTCAATTTGAGTTTGTATGTTTTCTCATGATTAGATTGACGTCGTACATTGTTGGCAAGAATACTAGGGAAGTGATGTTGTATTCTTCCAGCATATCATGTTAGTGAGCATAGAATTCTGAAATGCCATTGCTGGTGAGGCAAACCTTGATCACTTGATATGTAATGTAATGCCAAGCCTATAAAGAATTGAAGTTATTCAGCTCACAGTTCTGCAGGCTGGGGAGTCCGAGAGCATGGTGCAGACACCTGTTCAGCGTCTAGTGAGGGCCTTCTTGCCGCATTACAACATGCAGAGACAGAAACTTGAGTAAGCATGGGTCAACTCAGCTTCCTTTTCCTATAAAGCCCCCAGTCCCATCAGGGCCACCCATCCCACCCTAATGGGCTTATCTGATCCTAATCACCCCCCAAAGGCTGCCTCACCAATGCCATTGACATAAACTTGAGGATTAAGTTTCTAACACATGATATTTGAAGGATGCATTCAGATCATAGCAGGTAGTGTCTGCCATGATTTCCGTGATGTCATTACTGTTTTTTTTCTCTTACACTTGATGAATAACTTAGAGAGGAGATCATTGAGACTGCTAAATCTCAGCTTCTCCTCCTAATTTTTACTCACTGATTTTTGCATCAATTTCTTTCAATAATTATCTCTGTACTCTTTGCCTACTGGTGATTTTGTGTTTCCCTCATTCTATCTACACTTATTGAAATTGTTCTGTAGGAAAAAAGATGTTCTTCCTTCTTCACTCTATTTATTGACTTATTCAACTAATTTCTTTCAGCATGGACTCATGTAAATTTGTTTTATTCATACTTATAATCGAAAACTGTTATTATTATTTTGTTGTTCAAATTGTTCCAGCTTTGGCCATTGAGAGCTCTTTGGCTGGCTTCTTCAAGAACAAAGAAGTGCTTAAAATGTTTCTGGTAACGACAGGTGATTCAGGCTTATATGTTCCTGCCGCAGTCCTAAAGTCAATCACTTCTCTAAGGAGGCTTTGTTCCTGTTACTGGTGAATGGTGTTCATAAACCTAGATCTAGGGTTTGCTCATTGCTGCTGAGGTGATGTTGCTTCTAG